CAGGATTTACAGTTAGACTTACCTGCATCCCGCTCCTACTTCCTTCACCGATTACCTGAATAAATTATCTAGACTTCATAACATCAGTTCTCTTATTTGTAAATAGGGAATAATAATAATTCTTGACATGATTTTTTTAATGAAATAAACTATATAAAGCATTTGTTCCAATGCCTAGAACATGGTTGGCACTTGAATGCCTTCAACTGAACCAAAAAAATGAAGTCTGAGCAAGATCTAAGCTCTAGAAATGAGGAACTAACTGGAAGGGAAGGAGAGAAGTCCTCCACTTCAAAGTTTTAGGCCCTCAAACAACTATGGTGCCTTCCCACTTTGGAGATCTCACCTTTCCTACTGCTGAGAAAGTAGGGCTAAGGCAATTTATGAGAACATTGACTCAATATTGCTGCAAGCCCTTTCTTCTTAAGCCATTCCAACATTTACTCTTTTCTCATATCTGAAAACTCCATGCTCTACACAAGTGACATCTTGGTTCTGAAGTCAGAATTAAAAGTGAAAATATCAAATGATCAAATATACCCTTGAAAATCCCTCAGGAAGGTTTAGCATTGGAACAGTCTCTCAGGAAGTCCAGCATAGGCCATTTCTCAACCATTATTGGGACAGATTGTTGATTCTTCAGTTGAGCCCAAGTGATTGAATTGGCTTGATTTTGAGATCCATGTCATCTCAAAAACATCTGCATAGACATAGATATAGATTCTGATAGAAGATTCATATTCCAATTAAGCAAGATTCTCATAATCCATGGGAGGTAAGTGGAACCAAGGCCAACAGATGAAAGGGCAGATTCCTATCTCCATGCACACATTGAATGGAATAACATTCCATTGGATGAATGGTGGAACAGCCTACATTACTTATATATTTATTTTAGTACGTTTTTATTTTGCAAAGCAATATGACAACATTTGCATACGTTGAATATGCTTTAATCAAATGCAAGCACGATATTATGCCACATTTTGTTTTTGGGTTACTGAAATGAGATTGTAGTTAATGGTAACCCCACTAGCCAGGCCACATATAAGGATTGGTAACTGTACTGCACAAGGAAAAAAAAGAGAGACACATTCACATTTTAGGAATTAAGACAAAGCTTGGTCACCGCAAGTAAAAATCTGGAAAGAACACAAATACATGGAGGGTAAATAACATGCTACTAAACAATGATGGGGTCAACCAAGAAATCAAAGAGGAAATAAAAAAACACATGGAGACAAATGAAAATGAAAACACAATGGTCCAAAATCTTTGGGATACAGCAAAATCGGTTCTAAGAGGGAAGTTTATAGCAATACAGACCTACCTCAAGAAGCAAAAAAAACCCTCAAATATTAACAACCTAAACTTACATCTAAAGAAGCTAAAAAAAATAACAAACAAAACCAAAACCAGTAGAAGGAAGGAAATAATAAAGATTAGAGCAGAAATAAACTAAGTAGAAACTAAAAAAAATATAGAACAGATCAATGAAACCAGGAACTGGTTCTTTAAAAAGATCAACAAAATTGATAAAACTTTAGCCAGACTCACCAAAAAAAAAAAAAAAAAAAGAGAGAGGACTCAAAATCAGAAAGGAAAGAAGAGAAGTAACAACCGATACCATAGAAATACAAAGGATTATAAGAGAATATTATGAAAAATTATATGCCAACAAATTGGACAACCTAGAAGAAATGGCTAAATTCCTAGAAACATATAACCTCCCAAAACCAAACCAGAAAGAAATAGAAAAATTTGAACAGACAGATAACAAGCAATGAAATTGAATCAGTGAGAAAAAAAACTCCCAACAAACAAAAGTCCAGGACCAAATGGCTTCACACATGAATTCTACCAAACATTTAAAGAAGAGCTAATATCTAATCTAAAAAATAAAAGAGGAAGGAAATCTTCCAAATTCATTCTATGAGGCCACCATTACCGTGATACCAAAAGCAGATAAAGGCACCACTAAAAAAGAGAACTGCAGGCCAATATCTCTGATGAACATAGATGTAAAAATCGTCAACAAAATATTAGCAAACTGAATCCTTAAATAAATTTTAAAAATTCAGCAAGATCAAGTGAGATTTATTCCTGAGATGCAAGGTGGTTCAATATTCACAAATCTATCAACCTGATACACCCCATCAACAAAAGAAAGGATACAAACTGTATGATCATTTCAATAGATGCAGAAAAAGCATTTGACAAAGCACAGCATCCATTCATGATCAAAACCCTCAAAAAGTAGATTTAGAGGGAACATACCTCAACATAATAAAGGCCATATATGAAAAAACCATGCTATCATCATAATCAATGGTGAAAAACTTAGAACTTTTCCCCTAAGGTCAGGAACAAGACAAGGATGTCCACTCTCACCACTTTTATTCAACATAGTATTGGAAGTCCCAGCCGCAGCAGACAAGAAAAAAGAATAAAAGGCATCCAAATTGGAAAGAAAGAAGTAAAATTTTCACTATTTGCAGATGACATGATACTCTCTATAAAAAACCCTAAAGGCTCCACCAAAAAACTGCTAGAACTGATAAATGAATTCAGTAAGGTTACAGGATACAAAATCAATATATAGAAATCCATTGCGTTTTTTACACTAATAATGAAATAGCAGAAAAAGAAATTAAGAAAACAGTCCCATTTACAACTGCACCAAAATTACTAAAACATCTAGGGATAAACTTAACCAAGGAGGTGAACGACCTATACTCCAAAAACTATAAAATATTGCTGAAAGAAATTGAAGATGACACAAGCAAATGGAAATATTTCCCATGCTCATGGCTTGGAAGAACAAATACTGTTAAAATCTCCCTAATACCCAAAATAATCTATACATTTAATGCAATCCCTATCAAAATTCCAACAGCATTTTTCATAGAACTAGAAAAAATATCCCTAAAATTTGTATGGAACCACAAAAAGACTCTGAATAGCCAAAGCAATCTTGATAAAGAAGGACAAAACTGGAAGCATGACAATCCCACATTTCAAGATATACTACAAAGTTGTAGTAATCAAAACAGTATGGTATTGGCACAAAAATAGACAAATAGATTAATAGAACTCTGGAGAGTCTAGAAATAAACCTATGATTATATGGTCAATTAGTCTTTGACAGAGGAGGTTAAGAATAATTAATGGGAAAAAGACAGTCTCTTCAACAAATTGTGTTGGGAAAACTGGACAGTTACATGCAAAAAAATAATGAAACTTGTCTACTTTCTTGCACCACACACAAAAATAAACTCAAAATGGATTAAAGACCTAAGTGTGAGACCTGATACCATAAAAATCTAGAAGAGAGCACAGGCAGTAACTTCCCTGACATCAGCAATAGCAACATTTTTCTAGATATGTCTCCTGAGGCAAGGGAAACAAAAGCAAAAATTAACTATTGGGACTACCTCAAAATAAAAATCTTCTGCCAACAAAGGATTCAAAACAAAAAGACAACCTATGGATTGGGAAGCAATGTTTGAAAATGATATATCTGATAAAGGGGTAGTATCCAAAATATATGTAAAAACTTACACAACTCAACAACAACAAAAAGTTCAATTGAAAAATGAACAGTAGTGGTGCCTGGGTGGCTCAGTCAGTACAAATTGAATCTTTTTTTCCTGGGGGGAGGGGGGTTGGGAATGGATGAAATAGATGAAGGGGATGAAGAGAACATTTATCATGATGAGCACTGAGTAAGGAATAGAATTGTTGAGTTTCTATATTGTACACCTGAAACTGATAGAACACTGTAGGTTAACTCTACTGGAATTAAATTTTTCAAAAAAAGACAAAGCTTGGACAGGATGCACAGTCTAGTCACTGTTACAATTAAGCTAGCCCCAGAGTCATAGCTATCTGTTTCTGTTTGTCTAGCTCTCTGTCGTTGCCTGGGTTCTGTCTGTCCCACTGACAACATCTCTTCAACTTTATTTCATTTCTTTGGGAAAAGGAAAGAGAGAGAAAAGAGAACATTTTCCTCTGACAGCTGCATCAGATTTTGATCCAGAAAACTTGAGATACCTAATCTTTTGAATCTGTCTCCAGATCTCTATTTTGTTTTCCTGCAGCCTCCATTCCTTCAGCTCTTGACCTTTTCACTCCTTCAATCTCGATGTGGAGGGAGAAGGACAATAAACATATATGGGTCACATGCAATTTTTAATATTAACTTCAACCTAAGAAACTATGCAGAGATTCTGGCATACCATTTTTAAAATAAACCCAGCTGCCTTGTGCTGAAACATGAAAAAAAAATGACCATTCATTTCCTGAAAAAGGAGAAGTTCTTTTAAAATTCTTAATTTTTCATTTCTATTTTCAATATGAAATATCTAAAATGTAAAGATGCCATTTTAATAAAATAAAGAGGCAGAGTTACAGTGGCTCTAAAGATTTGTTGTAAATATTTTGTAAGGAAATTGCCCTCACATTATTATTAAAATTTTAACTTTCCACTAAAGCCACATTTAATCTTCTACAAAGACTCTGTTCCTCCTGCAAGCATAATTCACTGCTGCCTCCTCCGTGCTCTTCTTGTGCATGTTTATCATAAGTGATGATATTAACATGTGATATCTTATATTTCAAATTTATACACATCTGTTTCCTCCATGTGATGGTAAAGCTTCTTGCTTACTTTGGGGATGTAAATTCAGTTTCTTGCAAAGAGTAGAGGCTCAGTGAATATTGATTGGGCTTTATTTGAATTATTCTGTTTTGAACTTTGGAACTGATGAGATCACCTTTGCTTCCTCCATCCGTGGCCCATCCCTCACCCTCTTAATTAGCTGTTTATTGCTGTTTTCTGTATCCACCACCTCTTATACACCAATTCACAAGCTCTCGGCCTCATGTGCATTTTGTTTCAACTGCTCCTGCAATAACCAGCTCTGCATGGGTAGGGAATGATTTCATTCACGCAGAACTTGACAGTACCTTACTTTAAGGCCAAACCATGAGTTTCTTACCAACCCAGAATTTCTTTGTTGACCCTGAGGTGTGAGTGGTCTTATTTAGTGTCCACAGTTGCAGTCTGGACCTTCTGGGGAGTTAAGTCCCAGTACAGCAAACTTTTAACCGATGGTCAGCAACAACAGCAAAACAAATAAATCCTTCCTCTTCCTCAACTGTCTATGGTCCTGAGATGCAGTTGATGTGGCCTTTCAGAGGACACCCCTACAATATGAAGCAGTCTACATCAGTGCTAATAGTTTAGCAGCACACCCCCCACTGGCTCTTTCTCCCACCCTACCTCAAAGTCTTTTACACTCACTCCTGCCTCTCTTAATAAAAACATTTGCATAAATTCTTACATCAGACTCTGCTTTCGGGGGTGCTTGGGCTAAAACACCTGCCCGCATCACAGCCCCCTGCCGAGGGGACATGGTCCAGTCTGCATCAAATAATCTTCTCTGCTTCTTAGGGGAGGATTTCACAGGAAGGCACACCTAACACAAAGGCTCCCCATCCACTAACTAAGCCAGCAAGCAAGCCTCGAGACCTGGTATGAAAAGAAGCTGAACAAGTTGAAATCCTCTCTAGGGAACTCAGAAATGGCAAAATAAGACATGAAGCTAGGAGCAGCAGATGATGATATAAAGACGGAAGGTGGCAGGGCAGCCATGATGTTCTAATTGCTCAGTTCGGTAGCAATTCTTACTGGCATGTTGCTTCCTTCTCTCTCTTTCAACTCCTTCTTAGATGCTACCAATAGTTAAGTCAGAGAATGGTGTTCATTGCCAGGCCCTAGTCCTCATCTTAATTCAGCCCTTTCGTCATCATATCTGATTAATTGAAAAAGGGCTTCTAACCTGGCTATTCTGAACTCAGGCTATTCCTAACTCAGGAAGTTATAATAAAGTCATAAATAATATGAATTATTTATAATTGCCATCCTGTCCAACGGCTCTCATCATATCACTTTCTCTTCTAGGAGAAAAGATTGATAACTTTTACTTTTTTGATAAATGTAACATTAAGTGACTCCCCTCCTCATTAATCCATCAACATTAAATTCAGCTTCATTTTTCCTCTATTTTTCACCAAAATTCCACCCTTAAGCCTTATTCCTAAAATGCAGTTTAGGGACTTCTAATTTAAAGAATACTACTTTATCTCATGTGTTCAACAACTCTGTATGCTAAAACTATTGAAATGACCAACAAACCTTAAAGCTAAAACATGTATCTATGTTAGAATATATAGAAGGTTCCCCTTAAAAGATAGAAAATTTAACAGTTTCTATAAAATATGGTGCATGACAGGTCAGATTAAGGGATATACTGAACACAATTCACAACAGCGAACAGAGGATTGAAGAAGTTAGTATGTCCAGAGAGTTTGAATGACATGATACTAAGGCTAAGAAAGAGGAAAAGAAGCATAGAAGAAAATGGACAAACAGAAAGCACAAATTACGATCATCGAAATAGGTAAATATACGTCACTGATCACAATATTTATGTATATAGACCAAATCTTCCAGTTAAAAACAGAAATATTAAGGCTAAACAAAAATTCAACTATATGCTCTGTATGAGAGACACACCTAAAATATAAAAGCAGAACATGACTGAGAGAGATATATCCAGCTAATAATAGTCCAAAGAAAGCTGGGAGAGCTGTTATTAACTAATAACTATTAATTAATAACTATAATAATTAATAACTACTAATGTTATATAAATAGGCTTTAAGGTAAAAAAAAAGCCATTATCAGGAAGAAGAGGTGATGCTATGTGAAGATTAAAGTTTCAAATTACCAATAAGATTTAACAATTAGATATGTATTATGAACCTATCTCAAATTACATAGAGCATAACATTCAAGAACTAGAGAGAGAAACTGACAAATCATCATAATAATATGAAGATGAAACACGTTTCTCAATTATCCATTGTTGAAGCAGGAAAAAATTCTATAAAAATCTAAAAAAATTTATTAAAAAATCTTTGGACTACCAACCTTGACTTAATGGTTATATATAGATAGAGAAAGAAAGAGAGATTCCATATTTTCCTCTCGAGTACACAATGTACATTTACCAAAATTGAACACATTAATCCATAAAGCAAAGCTCATTATGTGTGTGTATGTGTGTAATATATTCACTACATCGTATAGAGAGAATATACATAGTATTCATATATATGTATGTATGTAGGAATATATAATTCATAATATATACTCTAATCCTCTAGCCACAATGCAACTAAATCAGAGTTATTTGAGATAAACTATTAACATCTTCTTATGAAAAAGGTCTCACACACATAAGAGTAAATGGAATAGTACATGGAATGCCCTTGTATCCTTCAGTTGTCTTCAACAATTATTCCACTCTTAGTCAATCTTTTATCATGTATATACCCACTCCCGTCTGAATTTTTCTATTTATAAGGGACACTTTTAATATAACCATAATACCATTATATATTTTTTAAAATATATAAAAATTCCTCAAATATCCATTCAGTGTTCAAGTTTCCCCGATTATCTCATATGTTTTCTTAAATTTATTCAAGTCAGGATCCAAATAAGGGTCACACATTGCATTTGATGAGTGTCTTTGAAGTCCCAAGTAGATACATTATTAAAACCACGTAGGATTGAAATTTTAAAACCACACTTCCCAATAACTCACAGGTCACAAAAGAAATGACAGTGGAACACTGACAATATTTGTAACTGAACAAAAAGCAAAATACCAATATAGCTAAAACTTTGAAATGCAATGAAAGCAATAATTGGAAAAAAAATGTTTACCCTTCAGTGCTTATAATAGAAGAAATGTTGGAAATTAATGATTTGAACATCCAACTTAAGAATTTGGTAGGGGGGAAACGATAGACTATAAACAAAGAAAACAGAAGGAAGAAACCAAGAAAAGAATAGATTATTTGAGGGTGCCCGCATGGCTCAGTTGGTTAAGCACAGACTCTTGATTTGGGCTCCAATCATGATCTCAGGGTTGTGAGATCAAGCCCCATGGTGGGCTCCACACTCAGCAGGGAGTCTGCTTGAGATTCTCTCTCTTTATTTCCTTCTACCCCTCCCCCCCCGCATGTGTACACTCTCTCTCTCCAAAATAAGTATATAAATCTTTAAAAATAAAAACTAGGTTGTTGAAATAGAAGACTAAAATACAACACTGGATCAATGCAATGGAATAAAGACAGCTCCAATTCTTTGACACTCATTCCTTTGATAGGAGGGATCCATTTCTCCTTCCCCTTGAATCTTTGTTCTGTGACTGCTCTAAGAGTATGGCAGAAGTGATGTTTTGCCAGTTCTAGGTCTAGATTTTAAGAAAACTTGCAATTTCTACTGCCTGTTTCTGTGTACATTTTCAGAGTTCTGAACTGCAATGTAAGAAGGTTCAATAACTCTATTGGAGAGGCCATGTGGAAAGGCTCTGTGTGCTACATGGACAGAAGGAGAAACCCATCTGAGCTTAGGCTCCTCAGTTTCCTTGCCAAGGCATCAGGCGCCTGAGTGAAGCAATCTTTTTTTTTTTTTTTAAGATTTTATTTATTTATTTGACAGAGAGAGCACAAGCAGGGAGAGCGGCAGGCAGAGGGAGAGGGAGAAGCAGGCTCTCCACTGAGCAGAGAGCCCGGCATGCAGGACTGTATCCCAGAACCCTGGGATCATGACCTGAGCCACAGGCAGACCGTTAACTGACTGAGCCACCCAGGCACCCACTGAGTAAAGCAATATTAGACTCTCCAGACCACACCAACAACCAACAGAATACCACCACATAAACCTGGCCAAGACCGCAAGAAACAAAAGAATGACCCAGGCAAACTGTACCTGAATTCTTGACTCACAAAATCATGAGATAATGAAACGGTGGTTGTTTAAAACCAGTCTGTATTGAGGGTAGTTTGTTACACAGTAAAAGGTACATGACAGCAATAAACAAAGCCAAAGTTGGCTCTTTGAAAAGACTAATAAAATTTGTCGATAATCTCTAATGAGATTTTCCAAGGAAAAAAAATAAAACCAAGAAAACTAAGAAAAAATATATTAAGAAAAAAAGGACTGTGTATCAGACTATATAACAGAGATGATTGGATTCAAGCCTTCACGCAGAATCAGGACAATTTGATGGAGCAGAACAAGTACTTGATTGAGGTACGTGTTCTTCCACAGCTAACTTTGGGCAAGTCATTTAAGTCTACTGGACCCCAGTTTGATTACAAAACAAAACAAAACAGAAAATGAAAGCTCCTTCCATAGGTTGATTGCTTGATGTGATCTCTCCGTGTATGTTTAGTCCCTGCTATTTAGTGAAGTTGTACTTAGAAAATGGTGGAATATAGAGCAAGGAACAAAGGAGAATTCAGTAGGGAACCAACCATCATGGCTTCCTCTCTTTGCTTAAGATGAAAAAAAAAATAAGCGGACAGTGACATGGGTTTTTTGTTTTGTTTTGTTTTGTTTTTTACAAAATTTTAATATGCATATTCAGGAACTTCTCATGGTAATAAAGTCAATAAATATCTGTTGAGTTAAATTCACACAAACTCACAAAAAGGCTTTTTCCCAGTATAAAAAACAACCACATTAGCTAGTTTGATAAACATAATGGCTATAAGGAAAGAACTAATTTTTACTTTTATATGTTCTATAAAACACTGTATAGTAAACTCTAGTTTTTGAAAGATTTTGCAAGATTTGGGGACTCTTACAAATGACTTGTGTTGTGATATGATGTGGAGTTCAAATGGAATTAAGTACTTATCAAAAACATGGCCCCAACTTCTACCTTGCTCTACATTTTTCAACAGTAAATAACTTAAAATTTTCCTAAGATTTGAGCAATTATTTATGTCTTTCTGAGGGTTATTTAACATGGAATTTAGCTAATGAAGTTTTGTAGTGTGTTAAATCTTTGCTGATATTTTGGAATGATTTTGGGAAACATATGGATAAAGGGCGTGGGAAGGGCCATAGTCCTATCAGATTGTTCTAGCTTGTTACCTTAGATAAAATTAAAAGCTACATCACGTTATCACCTTAGTTTCTGGAGAGGAAGTTTATTAGTTTAAATACCTTTTCAAATTCCAAAATAAACTCAATTCTGAAATTTCCTGTATGATAAAAATCTAGACCAATTGACATAATGAACAGGTTATAAGCTCCAATGGAAAGATTAGGCCTGTCTAAAAAAGGATATCATTGAATTTTTTAAATTTTATTTTAAATTAGCAAAGCCATTTCACTTATTCAGTTGTTTTTTAATGAGGATAAGCATTTGCATGGTAAAATAAACATTTATGACTTAATGTACACAGTATAAACATGAGAAGCATGCTACCCATCAATAGATACAGATTAATCTTTTTACTTCTCTACTCTGAAACATATAAAAACATCTTTAAATAGATATAGCTATATAAAATGACATATTTATGTACAAGTTCTCCACATTATTATTAAAATTAAGATTAGGACATCAATCATATCCTTTATCCATTACTATTTCAAAAATAAAAATAAAAAACCCTAGCTATATGCTTTTTTTAATTTCAAAGTGTCCTCTTCACCTTTGTGAGCTAGCTAGTTACCTACTACAAGGCATTAGTAATTCCTTTCTTCCCAAGTTATTTTTAGGGTGCTTTAGCTTTATTAAGATGTCCACCAAATGCTAAAACATTAAATACTGAGTTCCCTCTTCTATGTCTACCCCACAGAGAGGAGATTTCTTGCCTCAAACCTCAGTGCACACATGTAAACACAATTACTCAAAACAAGGCAACAAGTGAGAAGCAGGGTTAAAATAAGAACTCAGACAATCTGACTCACAATCCAGCATTCAACTCCCTATAACTTGCTGTTTTCCTTTGTCCTCTTTGCTGTGAACCAAGATACTTGTTCTTTAGCAGGGTGTTTCTGCTGCAAATCCAGTTGCTACTGCATTATGCAATGAAGTCAGAAGCCTGAGCTTGTGACATCAATATAGGTTGCTATGGTAACTCTTTCCATAAGTATTACAGGTTCATTGTAGGCTCAAAAAAGAGGACTTCAGCACAGTAGCAAAATAGCTGGCATTAGTCAGCCTAAATTACAACAATAATTGATCCAAAAAAATGTTTTATACTAGCTATAATAAATATAGATTTTTATATTTATGTTTTGTGTCATTATCAAAAGTCATTTTTCAAATACATTAATTTTTAAAATTAAATTCTCCATAAAAATAGCATTGCTGCTGACCTTCTGATATAACAGATCCAAAGATCCAGGAAGAAGAGAGTCTCACTGTAACACAGCTTATTATTCCATGCCTTGTGTCATTCCAGAAGTCAAGTCATGTTATGCATCATCTGTTTGGAATTAATTCACAATAGCATGATTTAAGTAGTTGTCAGATTACAGAAATTATAAAAAGGTTCTAAGGAGTTGCACGTATGAAAGCAATTTTAGGTGAGAAGTTTTCCCAGGTAATGTGTCCATTTTGAGCATAACAATAGTAAAGATCACTTTTTGTTGCACCTGTTCACCCTCATTTCCCTAAAATGTTTTCTGCCAATGCCTCAGTTCAAATGATTAAATCCACCTCACTGTGTAGGAGATACTTAGAAAGATTCTTTTGCCATTACATTTTTGAAATCAAAATTCGAAGCACATGGCCGAATAATTACAAAGCCTGAATTCCTTTCTTCCATAGCTCTTTTTTGTTTGCTTATCACCCACCATCAGCAGCATGAGGATCTTAGTTCAATTCTGTAATCACGCCTGGGCTAGGCATTGCAGTTACATGTGCTGGGCTTTAGGTATAAGATGTATAAGACACAGTCCCTTTCCATGAAAAGCTCATACAGATAATAGCAACATCGATAACAAATAGTATTTACTGAGTACCTGCCGTGTGCCAGACATCATGATAAGCACTTTCCGTTCACTATCTTATTTAATCCTCACACTACAACAAGGGAGGGAGGTACTGTTCTCCCCATTACCCAGATAAAAGAACTGAAACTCTGACAGATAGTCACTGGTCTGAAGTCACACCTGTAGTTAGGGACACAGCCGGCATTTGAATTTAGGATTAACAGACTCCAGATATTTATGTTCTAACGAAAATTAACGATAATTTCTTGTTACCATGGTAAAAATTGAAAAATGGATCATAATCCCACTGAGCAAGGACTGCTTGACATAGAATTTACAAGCAGAAAGCAGATGATAGTCTTCAGGTGGATGTCATAAACACTTTCTATGACGGACTTTTCTGTTTTTGTAACACTCAGCAGTTCAGAAAGTGTTTGCCTGCAGACATTCTTATTCCCCTGGGGTTATAAATGAAAATATCTCCCAAAAATATTGGTTCTATCACTTTTCTTAGACAGCTGTATTGATATTCTAATATGCTCCAAGCTACTGTACTTTCTTGAGATCAGGTAAATATATTAGCACTTTAATGTGTATAGTGTGTTGCATTTTACAAATCCTACCAAACATTCATCCATTCAGCACAAATGTATTGAGCCACTATTATGAGTCAGGCAGTGTGCTAAAGTTAGATATGACCCTACAGCAAAAAGTTGAAATAGTCCCCAAAGGAATGGAGCATGTAATCTTAAAGGAGAGAAAGTCATTGATCAAATAACAATAGAAATAAATGTAAAATTGGAACTGTGTCCAAAGAGTAGAAAATAAGAAAGGCTGAAAATAGATAACCTAAGAATTCAATCCTAAATGATATAAAGAGAACAGAAGAAACACAAAGAAGCAGAGGGAAGAAAACAAGAAGAAAAAAGTAAAGCCTAAGGAAATGTAATGCAACATACAACAGAAATATCAGCAAAACCAAACTGGCTCTTCGAGAAAATGAATAAAATTGACAAACCTCTGGCAAGATTGCTCAAGAAAACAGATAAGGCAAAGGTGAACAACATTTGAAATGACATAAAGAACACACAGAGATACAACAGAGATTAAAAAAGGAAATAAGATCAAATGAACTTTACGCCAGTACATTGGGAAGCATAGATAAAAAGGACAAACAAAATTGATCAAGAAGAAACAGAAACTTGGGTAGGCATAGACACCGAAGAAATTGAACTGGTGTGGGTCTTACGTCAGTTCTCGTTTTATCTTCTGAGGAGCTGCCATATTGTTTTTCATAGTGGTTGCACCAGTTTCCGTTCTCACCAGCAGGGCACAGGGTTAACCTTTTTTCCATGTTCCTGATGGCACGTGTTACCTCTTGTCTTTTTGATAAGAGCAGTTCTAACAGGTGTGAAGTGATAGCTTATTGTGATTTTGATTTGTAGTTCCCTTTGATTAATGACATTGAGCACGTACATTGAGCACGTACTTGCCAGTTTGCGTGTCCTCTTTGGAAAAAGGTCAGACCTGTTCAGGTCCTTTGTCTATTTCTTTAGATTATTTGGTTTTGTTGTTGTTGTTGTTGTTGCTGCTGCTGCTGTTGTTAGAGAGCTATGAGCTCCTTATTATATATTTTGGAAGTTAACCCTTTATCAGATAATGGCTCGCAAACATCTTCTTCCATAGGTTGCCTTTGAGGTGCAAAAACTTTTTAGTTTGATATAGTCCCACTTGTTGATTTTTGCTTTTGTTACTTGCGTTTTTGGTGTCATATACAAAAAACAAAACAAAACAAAACAAAACATTACCGAAACCAGGGTCAATGAGCTTTTCCCCATGTTCTCTTTTAGGAATTTTAGTTTTAGGTCTTATATTAATTCTTTTCAAGTTAATTTTTGTGAGTAGTATAAGATAGGAGTCCAATTTCATTATTTTGCTTTTAAATATTCAGTTCCCCCAATACCACTTATTGATGAGACTATTTGTCCCCATTGAGCATTTTTGGCTATTTTCTCAAATATTAATTGACAATATATGGATGGATGGATTTCTGGACTCTTGATTCTGTTGCATTGGCCTATGTGTCTGCTTTTTTATGTAAGTTTCATACTGTTTTGATTACTACAGCTTTGTTATGTAGTTTGAAATCAGGAAGTGTGATGCCTCCAGCTTTGTTCTTAAGTTTGCTTTGGCTATTTGGTTTTCTATGGTTTCACTCAGATTTTAAGATTATTTTTTCTCTTTCTGTGAAAAACTTTGAAGTTTTGATAGGATTTGCATTGAATCTATTGATGGCTTTGGGGAGTATGGACATTTTTAACAGTATTATCTCTTTTGATCCATAAACAAAGGATGTCTTTTTATTTATTTGTGTATTCTTCAATTCCTTTCATCAGTGTCTTAGAGTTTTCAGTGTACAGATCTTTTACCTCCTTGGTTAAATTGATTTCTAAGTATTTTAGTCTTTTTGATGCTATAGTAAATGAGATTGTTTCTTTCTTTCTTAGGTAGTTTGTTGTTAGTGTATAAAAACACAACTGATTTGTGTATGTTGATTTAGCAACTTTACTGAATTGACCTATTAGTTCTATGTGTTTTTTTGGTGGAGTCTTTAAGGTTTTCTGTATGTAAGATCATGTCATCCATGAACAAAGACAATTTTACCTCTTCCTTTTCAATTTGGATGCTTTTTATTTCATTACCTTGCCTGATTTTCTGGCAAAGACTTCAAGTACTATGTTGAATAGGAGTGGTGAGGGCGGGCACACTTGCCTTGTTCCTGATCTTAGACCTTAGAGGAAAAGCTTTCAACCTTTCACCGTTAAGTATAATGTGAACTATGGGCATGTCATATATTGCCTTTATTATGTTGAAGTACATTCCTTCTATACCCATTTTATTGAGACATTTTATCATGAAAGGATGTTGAACTTTCTCGAATGCTTTTTTTTCTGCTTCTTTTGAGATTATGTTATTTTTATCATTCATTCTATTAATGTGTATCACATTTATTGAATGGCATATGTTAAAACATCCTTATATCCCAGGAATAAATGCCACTGGATTATGGTGTATAATCCTTTTAATGTGCTGTTGAATTTGCCTTCTGAGTATTTTGTTGAGAATTTTTGCATCTTTATTCATCAGGGATATTAGTCTGTAGTTCTCTTTTCTCATGGTGTCCTTATCTGGCTTTGGTATCAGGGTAATGTTGGCCTCACAAAATGAGTTTGGAAGTGTTCCCTCCTCTTCTATTTTTTGTAAAAATTTAAGCAGGATTGGCATCAACTCTGTCTCAGCAGTTTCATAGGCCTGATGACTTGCTTCCCTACTCTGTCAGCCATAGGATGTACTCCATAGACCCCCAGCATTTCTGGCCAGGCTTCCTGGTTTGGTGGGACTGCACTCAGCAGTTGGGCAAGGCTGGTGAATTACTTCCCTGTTTCTGTGTAGATCTAGAATGGGCTCTCAGATCAGAACAGATCTATAAGTTGGGGACCTAAAGTAGGCAGAACTGCTAACCAAGGTCCGCAACCAGACGGGGCCATCCATCTTTATCCTTAAAGCTTTGTTACTTGTCATATCTGCCCCAAATCGTAGTCTCTATATTCCATTTCCATACCAGGCTTGATTTTAGAGTTATGCCTTTTTAACTCAATTCAGAAATTCAGGCAATATTTTTAGAAGTTTCCTTTATTTTAAGTCTTCATTTTAATTCCAGCTAGTTAACATACAGTGTTATATTAGTTTAAGGTGTACAATATAGTGATTCAACAATTCCATACAACAACTGGTGCTCATCACAACAAGTGCACTCCTTAATCCCCATCAACTATTTAACCCATACTACCCACCTCTCCTCTGTTAACCATCACTTTGTCCTCTATATTTAAGAGTATGTTTCTTAATTTGTCTCCCTTTTTCCCTTTGCTCCTTTGTTTTGTTTCTTAAATTCCACATGAGTGAAATCATATGGTATTTGCCTTTCTCTTACTGACTTATTTCACTTAGCATTTACTCTCTAATTCCATCCATGTTATTGCAAATGGCAAGATTTTGTTCTTTTTA